TTTCTCAGCTGTCATCCATGTTGTATCAAGTCAGGTTGTCTCACTGGCCTTGAGCTCGCCAAGCTGGTAAATTGGCTGACCGGTGGGCCTGAGGAGTCCGGCTGTCTCTGCATCCTCAGTACTGGCGTCGCCAGTGTGAGTCATGATGCCTTAACTGTGGATCCAGAGGGCTTGAACTCAGGTCCTGATACTCAACAAGGTGAACAATTTGCCAACTGAGCCATCACCCCAGTTTCCAGTCAGATCTTTTGTGGGGTCTTTTTCCTTCTATCAGTTGAGCGCTCCTCAAAGACCCGTGCATCCAGCAGTTTGAGAGCAGTAACTGCATGGACTCTGTGTGTCAGAAGACCGGCAACTCTTGCCTCTTGGGATCCTCACGTTGTTTTGAGTTCATTCTATCCTGAGACGACCACTGCTGCTCTCAGGAAGGATGAAATTCCAATCCCATACAGTGCAAGGCAGTGGCTGAAATAGCTCCCTATATATCCCGTCATAGTAAATCTCTCCCTGACTTCTTCCCCCGCTCTGTCTACCTACAACAGATCCCAGGGCCTTCTTCCACTCCCCCAGCCTGGGAGACATTTATAAGGCTCATCACTGGGGAAACACCAGGGCCTTTTATCATCTCCCCCACTTCTAGCATGAAGATCTTTTGTCCCCCTCCCTCCCTCTCACCTCCTGGACCAAGGTCAGTTATCTTATACCCTGTTTATGGGCTGTTGGGATTTTTCCAACAACCTGAAATGAATCTGCAAGGCCCCACAGGTAGTGCTGCTTTGTCTTCTGGCCATAAAGAACGGCCGGCTCTTTCATCTGCGATTGCTTATGTCATAAATGAGTGGGCAGAAAGATGGTGGGGAAACAGCACCCCCTCCCAACCAGCCCAGACTTAAAAAAGGTTGGGGGTGGGTGGGTAGAAAGCCCCGAGAAACATGTTCAGACTTCGTGCCAAGCCAATTCATTTTCCTCTGGTAGGCTGTACAGAGAGACTTAATCTCTGGGCTTCCCCCACTAAGCGTCAGATTTATGCTGTGCTTGTGTCTAAAGGGCCTCCAGGGATGCTGACATTTGTTGTTGGAGAGCTGAGAGTGGTGTTCCTTTCATCTCTGCTGAGGGGTGTCACCTTAAATTATGAGGGATAGCTCCAGCCTACATCTGGGTGTGGGAGGCTCTGGCAATGAAAGACGCCTGCTCCGCTTCGCTTTTGGAAGCTTTTCTGCCCTCTTCTGCTTCCCGCTACTCCAGCAGGCTCTGGGAGAAATATTCCACACTGCACATTCTCATGGAGAAGAGTGTGGGGTCTGTCAAGACTGCCCTGCAGAAAGACAGGAGGGAGGAGCCTCACTGAATGTCCCAGAGGAGCTCAGAGCATCTCCAAGAAAGTAATAGAACATCCCAGGCTGCTAGTATTTATGTGCTGTAACAGGAAGTGGTTGAAGGACAGGAATGGGCCTCTCCTGTGACTCTCCCCTCTTTAGCATCTGACTCACCTAGACCCTCCAGGACAACTGGAAGTCCATACTGGAGACTGTTCAGGTAGCAGCATCCCAGTTAAAAAGTATGCCTATTATCCATAGCAGAGAATTGATCAGATCCTACTAACTGTCCACTGCTCGGTATACCAGATAAACATTCTTCTTAGCCCAGAGTCCGGGCCCAGAAGAATGGGGCATGGGCACAGGATAAAGATGTTCAAATGGAGAGGGAAGAGGTCAGGTGAGACCTAGAACAAAGATCACTAAACTGAACCACACAGACCATATTTGGCCTGCTGTCTGTTGTGGAAATGCAGGTCTACTGGACACCTCTATGCCCATTCTTGTGGCCTCTTCCTGTCCTTGGTCTATAGTGTGGTACTAGGAGACTGGCGTGTGAACCAAGACTGAAGTATTTAGACTAAAGGCAAAGACTAAAGGATAATCTCGGAAATTTTACAGGATGTTTGGAGATGCCTGTGGAGGGAGAATGGGTCCCTGTAGACACAATGCTACACTGGTATCCTGGAGAGGACAGGGCATCTATGGACCACGAATGTTATTTTAGATTTCACATTTCCATTAGTTATATGATCCAAAGTTCCAATATCTATTTGCATTAAACTTCGTGAAGAACAATTATAAAGAGTCGGACTTCGGCAAGACAACTGCAGACACCACTGGCAGAAGGCAGGCCTCTGAAGACTTCCAATTTCATTTTAAAGCACACTCGATGCTGAGGATGCCTGGGTTCTCATTTCCAGTCTGCAGACTCGTTCCTAGGTGCCTGCCTACTGGAGGAGCTGCATGCTCCTTGGCCTGGGATGTCAGTCATTCCCATTTCCATTGGCATGTCACTGAAGGTTTACTCAATACCAGAAATCCCTCTTTACCCTCATCAGGGGTTGAGGGAGTCTCCGACCTGCACTAAGGCCTTGTGGCGGTGAATATATATGGACATGACGTTCTTTTTCTTCTTTTAGTCTCTTGGGGGATCATCTTATTTTACTGAGGCGTTTGCTTTCAAATGTTTATTTTCTTCTTGCTATTCTGCAAACCCCCAAGGATTGCCCTGAAAACCCTGTGCATAGCTATGACTAAGATCAAGTACAACATCACTCCTGGGAGAGAACAGCTTCACAGCTGAAGGAGAGACAGGAGCATCATTCTCCTCATGAGGACTCTGGTGCTAATGCTCCTTGATCTCCCAGGGCCTTTTATTTGTACTTTTGCTGGGGAGCGAGGCATAAAGAGAATATAACCTTTCTACAACATATGTTAAGCATTGCCTGTGTGCTGGGGTCATGTGAGCTTCTCTGTACATAGCGTCAGTGCTTCTGGGACACCCACAGGGTGGATGTTACTGTCATCAGCATGTAGTGGAGGAAACCAGCTGGGGGATTGGGGACATGATATGACTAGCAAAGGGCTGGGAAGGGGCGAGAGTCCCTGCCTACCTCTGCTGCCTTTTGGTTCAGGGGATTCACAACTGACTGCCCCTTCACATTCAAGTGGCATGTTTTGACTGTCCATAGAAAGAGAAAAATATTACTCCTTCATATAAAAGAAATCTTTGGCTCCGGTAGAGTTCCAATTTAGAATTCAGCTCATATCAAACTACCATGTACAAATAAACAGTATGTGTGCCATGTAACTACTGGATCTGTCTTGTGGGCTTGTTCAAAGCAGCCAGAGGGACTACAGCAGGGCAAGCCCACGAGAGAGGTTTTCACTGTAAGGAGGGTGGGACCGTTCCTAAGACCCAGAGATAATAGAGGGTCTCCTTGGGAGAGCTTGAATCTTCAATTCCCAGTGGCTCCTAATGCACAAAGTGAAAAGACGTTCACCCTGGTATTTCTTAGACCCTAGAAATACCTTCTGAACCTCTGAGAAATGCCTGCATGAGAGACTTCTACTTTGAGCATTATGATTCATTGTCAACTATATATTCTGTGAGGGCTCAGCTCTAAATGGGACATCTTAATCAACTGCCCTCCTACTGGCCAGCCAAGGCTCAGGAAACATATGGAGGCAGAAAGAATGTGGGAGCCAAAGATTTGGAAAGTTCTACGAGATGTTGTCTTCTGGACATGACGTAGTTATTGTACTCATGAATTCATAGTGCCTGTACAGGACCTATACAAGGTCAAGCCAAGAGTCTAGCATATACGGGGAGGGAACTTACAAGGCTCTACATTGATGGAATTCTTTCTTGGAGGTGTGGCCACTGGTAGGTTGCCCATGCTCAGGTAGATGACCCCACATCCTTGCACATATGGAAAACGCTAAATGAACTTAGTGAGTTAAAATATAAAAAAAAACATGAAGTTGGGCAGTAGGAATGTGTGAGAATATCTAGGGGCACTTGAAGAGGGAAAATGGAGGTAAATATGATTATTTTTCCTTGTATACATATATGGAATTCTCAAAGAATAAAAATTAAGAGAGAATACTTACCTCTTTATTTCTTACTTTCTAATTGAGTTGAAGTAATTCACATACTTTTCTTAGGGAGCTGCTTGTTTTATAGACCAGAAATTTTGATGAATTATTAGCGTTACCTGGTCATTTCCAATCATCTGTGCCTATAGATAACATTATGTTCATTTTTGATGACCCTGTAGACAGTAATACTTTCTACCTCCTTAGTTAAAAATTAAATAGATAATTTTTTGGCATATCTAGGAAGTTTTGCCTGAGTCCTTCAGGTCTAGTTTTGAAAACTGACGTCAAGGAAATCACTGATGTGGGATTCTGCTCTGTACGCTGTGAGTACCATTGGTGATTAAAGAAACTTCCCTGGCCTGTTGGTAGGGAAGACCTTAGGTAGGTGGGAAAAACGAAACTGAATGCTGAGAGAGAGGAGGCAGAGTTAAGGAGAAGCCATGGAGCTGCTGCTGGAGACAGACACTCTGAAACTTTGCTAGTAGGCCATGACCTCATGGTGATGCAAAGTTTAACGGAGACAGGTTAAACTAAGATGTAAGAGTTAGCAAATAAGAAGCTAGAGCTAATGGGCCAAGCAGTGATTTAAATAATATGGTTCTATGTGATTATTTCAGGAGTCTGGGCAACCAGAAAAAGGACAAGCAGCCTCTCCCACATCAAATCACACTGGGTATTGGTTATATTCTGAACAGCATTTTGAATGCCTTACTAATACAGGCCCAGTTTGTCTCTATATCAGTTCCATGGAAGCAGGCTCTCTTGTGTCATGATTCTTCCCATGAAAAATGGAGTCCGAGTTGATTAGCTTGCTTCAGGCCCCACAGCTGATAAATGCACAGCCAGCACAGCATGCTGTTCTAAGCATGATGACTGTGGACTTTCTGCTCTTGCCTCTGAGCTTTAGAAGTGTTTTCTTAGCCTCTTTCTGGAAGCTTTTAGATCAGCAGCACACACGTTCTCACACTCATACCTAAAGCCATCTTGGGACTGTGGCATCCCAGAGCTTATTACAGAGCAACACACAGCTCCATGAGGTACATCTGGGGACTGGAAATACAGTTCTCTGCTTCTTTTTAGGAAAAAGTGATGATGAAGAGAGTCTTTGCAAGTCAGCCCATGGGGCAGGGAAAGGAACATCAGAGGATGGCAAGGACCACAAGCGACCCAAACGTCCCAGAACCATCTTGACAACCCAGCAGAGGAGAGCATTCAAGGCCTCATTTGAAGTATCCTCCAAGCCCTGCAGAAAGGTATAAGAAGGGGAGAAGAGAGCAAGGTGCCTTCATCTGTGTGCAGCTGGACTCCCCTGTGATGTTAGAAAATGGTGTGGGGCCTGAGTGGTGGGGACCGTGACTCAGTCTGCCGTGTGATCATGAACCCTGCAGGAGGCTCCAGGGATAGCTAAACTATGGCCTGGGAAGTAATGGAATTTCCCCCAACTTCCTGTGTGCGTGTCAACTCCCAAGGACCCTAACTCCTCTTATTTCATGAAGAGCCACAAGGAACAATCAATAGTAATTAAATTATTATGATAATAAGTACTAGTTGTGCTATAAACAAGATGTCTTAACAAAGAATATAAAAATACAGTATCTTGCAAGATATGCTTTTTGCGGACAAGTCTTGACTTAGTCTCCTTGGGGATTCCCTGGGTAGCTGTTCATTTCTTCCGATGATATCTTCAACTGAATGAATGTGCTCTTGCTTTCCATTCACCTACGGATGAGGACCTGGGTGGTATTTGTCTGGGGTTGTTATAAATAGGATCCCTGTAAACATTTATATAAAATTTCTCACTGACTTCATGAAATCATATTTTTATTTTATGCCATATTCAGAGGAGAGCAATCTAAGACTGGGAGGGCAGTTCTGTTGTCCATCACTTGGGTCCCAGCAGTTGCCCCAGCTGTCTGCGTTTTCCCAGCCACCATGGTGGAGACAGTAGAAATAGATGGCAGGTACCTGCTATTTATAGTCCCTCTGAGATGAGCTCACTAAGGAAAATAGTGAACACGAATATTCACAAGGCACACAGAGTTACTTGGAAGCAGAAAGACAAAGCTAAAAATTTAAGTCAATGACAAGATAAGTGGACAAGAAAGAGTTATTTGTTCCTGCAAAGAGATTTTTCATTTTAGTTCTCCTTAAGTGGTTTAAAAGATTGGAAGTCAACTCCGAAAGACCACATGAAGCCCTAATGTGTCTTCCACTCATTTGTTCAATTTCTTCCAGGTGAGAGAGACTCTGGCTGCGGAGACAGGCCTGAGCGTCCGTGTGGTTCAAGTGTGGTTCCAGAACCAGAGAGCCAAGGTAATCTGCTACCCACCTTCACCTGTCTTTGTCTTGGTAGCATCTCCCAGCAACAGCAGGTGAACCCTAGACTTGCTGTCAGCCTCTCTAAGCTAAATTATTGGGCAGAGTAGCTCTCTTGAGTAAAAACTCTGCCACCAACAATTACTTCAGCCACAGTGGCTGTGCAGAAGGGAAAAAGAAGCATTTATATTAGTGAAATGGCTTTTGTCATGGCAGGTGGAGTGAAAGTCTCCACTCCCATCTTGCTAACTCTGGTAACACTCAGGTCCTGGGTTAATTATTTTCTTTCTGACTCTAACAATACACATGTCCTGGCCAATCTTGGTTTTATCCTTCCTTCCTTCCTTCCTTCCTTCCTTCCTTCCTTCCCCCCTCTCTCTCTTTCTTTCTTGTGTGTGCATATGCACTCATGTACATGCATGTGGGTGTGTGCGTATGCACAGAAGCCAGAGGTTCTCAGGACAGTAGTTCACCTTGGTCTTGTTCTTGTTCTTTTGAATTGAGTCTCTCACCGGGACCTGGAGTTCCTCAAATAGCCTAATCCCCCCAAGCCAGATGCCCCGAGGCACTCTCTCTGTCTCCATTCCTCAGCACTGGGGTTACACAGCGCACACCAATGCCCCCGACTTTTTGCTCGAGTTCTTGAAAACTGAGCTCAGGTCCTTGAACTGGCACAGCAGCGCTTTGCAGACTGAGCTATCTTCCCAGTCCTTAGAAGGTGAGAAATCACGCTCCTTAGTTATAATCCTGCAACAAAATTCTGCAGCAAAGGGCTGTTGATGTGTTGCGATTCCAGCGACAGAAGACATTATTGGGCAGTGAGTGTGTGAGTGCTGATGGACCATGGATTCATGAAGTGGGAGCACACTGAAGTGTGAATTCTCACACTCTGGAGAATTTTATGACTAAACAGTTTATTTTATAACCTATTATTGTAGTAATAAGAGCAGCCGGCTGCTTCCTGCCACCCGGCTAGCTTTACCTGAAATAATTACATGGAAACTGTATTCCTTTAAACACTGTCTGGCCCATTAGTTCCAGCCTCTTATTGGCTAGCTCTTACATATTGGTCTAACCCATGTTTAATAATCTGTGTAGCCCACGAGCTGGCTTACCAGGGAAGATCTTAACCTGCAGCTGTGTTGGGTGGGAGAATCATGCCGACTCACTGATTCAGCTTCTTTCTCCCAGCATTCTGTTCTGTCTTCTCCGCCTACCTAAGGGTTGGCCTATCAAATGGGCCTAGGCAGTTTCTTTATTAATAAGAAATCACTCCCACATCATATTTTCACACACACACACATACATGCATGCACACACACACACACACACACATACACACACACGCACACACACACACACTTACCTATTAAGATCTCACCGAATGGCAGTGTTTCCCAGAGCCCAAGTTGAGAAACATTGGGTGAAAACAATTGGGTGAAACTGTTGCTCTGGTGGACAAGCTTCTGTCGTAGAGTACAGATCTCCTGTGGTGCCTCAAACACAGAGACCGCAGATGGGAAGGAGGCAAAAGAGTATCTGGGCTCATCCCATGTCCCATCCATTGGGCAGGCCATGCTCTACACCTATCTGAGACTGTGAAACACACATCCACATATTGACTGCTTCACATGAAGCAGTTCCAGAGCAAGCAGCATGTGGTCCTTCCTGGGAAGGAGGCCCTGTTTCCGAGAAGCCGGGTTGTGCCACACTTCTCTGCCAGCTACATTCCTGCTGCTGCGAAGTAGGAGAGCCCTGGCCCCTATGCGTCTGAGTCATGGTACCACGCCTGGTGTGTGAACAGAGTAAAAGCTGGGGGTTGCCCCTTCTCCTTTAGGAACAGTCCTTTCACCAAAGGGGAAAGGTCATACCCTTCCTGTTCTCCCTTCCCATGTGGACCCACCCTGGGCCTCTGACCTCTAATCCTGTGGTCCTCTCCTCATCAGATGAAGAAGCTGGCCCGGCGGCAGCAGCAACAGCAGCAGGATCAGCAGAACACTCAGAGGCTGAGTTCTGGTAAGCTCTTCCCAGCCAGTCCTCGCTGCAGTTCAGGTCTCTGCTACCTGAGGCCTTCAACTGAAGTGCTCTGAGCAACTTATCCCTAATCAGTGACGTGCCCCTTTGCACCTGTTTGAGAGACGATGATTTAGGTAAATACTAAGTTGAAGGTAACTTGTAAGAATGTTGAGGGCACCTAAACTCAGATTCAGAGCAGTTGATTGACAGTGGTAAAGCCCCTTGTCTGGACCGTAAATACTAGGTTGAAGGTAACTTGTAAGAATGTTGAGGGCACCTAAACTCAGATTCAGAGTAGTTGATTGACAGTGGTAAAGCCCCTTGTCTGGACTGTAAATACTAGGTTGAAGGTAACTTGTAAGAATGTTGAGGGCACCTAAACTCAGATTCAGAGCAGTTGATTGACAGTGGTAAAGCCCCTTGTCTGGACCCTGCAAGTGTCAGGAGCATGTGCAAAGTCAAAGGCATTATCCAGTTTCTCTTCTCACCCAGTCCTCCTCATTCAAAGTGAATCCATTACTAAAAGATACTGCTGACTTGGCCTTCTGCTAGCTTTCCATCATTGTGATAAAGTTCTTGACACAGTCAACTTAAAAGGAATAAATGTTTATTTGGGCTCATGATTCTCAGGATCTCAGTGGTGGTATAATATTCTCTTTAGAGTCCAGCACTAAAACAGTCGCTTATTCTCAACATCTCGAGCAGCCATGAGTCCCTTTCATTCACTGCCATTCACTCCAGAGAATGGCTTCTGATTATGGTTGAGATATCATTTGCCTGTGAAGACAAGCAAATACTTGGCCTGCAGTTTGAAGCCATATCAGTTTCGCTAAAGAACAGTAGTAAGTTTCCCAGTAGGGCCTATGACCACCTCAGCTTGTTTGGTTTTCAGTAGGCTCATAGTATCAGGTATGCATTTTCTCCAGGGCCGTGAGCCTCAACTCCAATCTGAGAGCAGTTGGTTACTCCCTAATAGCCATGCCATTGTTGCATCAGTGGGCACATCTTGCTTGGCGGGTTGGCATCATGGTGTGTAGGATTTATAGCTGGGTGAGACCAGTGATGAGTTCTCCCCCACCCCCAGCAGACTACACAGCACCTCCCAGCATTATGAGAACTGTACAGCAGGGAAGAAGCTTCCAGATCATTTCCAGCTTGATTTCTTTATATCTTGGGTATATGGTGCCTTCTGCAATAGGGTCTTATCATCTACATCTGAGGACTACCAAGAAGAATAGCAAGAACTTCTACTCCCTGGGGAGTCTCTGGGGCCTCCCTGACCCAGAGAATGTGCCCCATACCTGGCAGTGGAATTCTTGTTTGTTAAACAATGGCTTTTAGGAGCAGCAAATTCTAGCCGTGTGGGGTATCTCAGTAGGTTTCCATGTGATTTTCTCACAAATATTTCATTTTGATTGTTTGTGGCCTCCTATCTTCCCTATCCCTGACCCCCATCCCTGCTTAAGCCTTTATGTCTCAGTGTATCTCCTTCCTATCCCCATGTCTTCTAATTTTGCCCACTTCCCTTAAGGAAGTTTTCCTCCCCTGTTGGTGCCATTCTAGTTTCTTAATTTCTACCCACGTTCTGAGTTAAACACACAGATATAAATATTCAGAGTTTCGGTCACCTATGAGAGAGAACATGTGATATTTGTCTTTCTGGGCCTGGGTTACCTCAGTCTATATACTCTTTTCTGTTTCCATCCATCTACCTGTACATTTCATCATTCCATTTACCAGTATTTATACACGGAAAAGCTGCTTCAGCAGTTGCTGGGGATGGGTGGGCAACACATTGAGCAGGAGTCTTGAATTCTGTTCTCAGCTCTACCCCACTACAAATTTATTCGATCTGGAAGCAATCCATCTTCCGTGGGACTGTGCGTTAGGATGCATGCATCCCCAGAGAAGAGTAGTCATGCCTGCTCTCTTTGTCACGTAGGGTCTCTGAAGCCTTCACAGGCATGAAGGTGACTTGGCAAGAGACATGCCAGTTGATTCCATGTAGACCAACAAAGTTGGGAGAACACTGCATCAGGTCGTCATGAAAACGCAGTGCTTGGGACTCTGCTGAGGGACTTCCCAGGGCAGCTGCTAGGGTAGCCTTCAGGAAAGCCGGAACCAGTGGGAAATATCGCTGGGAGTTCATAGAGCCGTGCTTATACTGAGGACGAGGAGGCAGGAAGATTTGCTCTTCTCATATACATCTGCACACAAGCAAAGTGGGCTGCAATTACAGAGCATGCCGACTTTCACGGGATTTTTATTTCAACCCTATAAGGTCATATAAGTCTCTCTTGACTGATGAACTTGTAACGGGTTATTTCAAGAAAGATGCTTAGATCCATTTCCTCAAGTGGCTGCCAAACCTATATAGTATTCTAAAGTTTGGCTTCCCAGTCCCCATCTCTGTCCTCTACTGTCTTGGCCTCTGCTGGGCACAGGATGAGAAACACAGATGTCACCCTATCCCTTTCTAGTTGGCAAGTAAGGAAAGCAGGACCCAGGAAAGTAAAATTATATAGCCACAATCACCCAGTTTGCTGTCATAAGCCTCTAAGCTGGTCTTCCATGATTCTTACAAACTACTGTTTCTGCCCTTCGGTAATCACCTCCAGCATGGCATATGGGGAGTAAGAATGTGACCTCCAAAGCCAGGTCATAAGGGACACAGTGGGTCCTCTCAACCCCACCCTCTCAGGATAGATTATATACATGAATGAAATTGTCGAAGAAAGTAAATAAATAAAAAGACAGGTTCTTCTCAGCCTTCACCCTCTCAGAAGACATTGTATACATAAATTAGATTGTCAAACAACAGATTAAATAAATACTAAATAAATAAGTAAATGTAATAGCTTGTTATTTTCTAACTTGGGTTCTCTTGAGTCACGGTTCTGGGAACAGCAGGCTGTCATGGCGTGAGAACCATGAACACTGGATACCTGGTAATGAAGTCTTTTGTGAGTTCCTGGGATGCCAGTTGAAAATGATCAGTCTTGGGACTGGAAAGATGGCTCAGAGGTTAAGAGTACTGGTTGCTCTTCCAGAGGTCCTGAGTTCAATTCCCAGCAACCACATGGCGGCTGATAACCATCTTCTGGCCTGCAGGCATACATGCAGACAGAACACTGTATACACAATAAATAAATATTTTTAAAAAAAAAAGAAAAAAAATGATCTGTTTTCTTTTTGGTCCCGCAGCCCAGACAAACGGTGGTGGGAGTGCAGGAATGGAAGGGATCATGAACCCCTACACAGCCATGCCTACCCCACAGCAGCTGTTAGCCATTGAGCAGAGTGTCTACAACGCTGACCCATTCCGACAGGGTCTCACTCCACCCCAGATGCCTGGAGATCATATGCACCCCTATGGTAAGAGAGACTCAGTATCTATGGGTTCCCTCTCAATTTGCTTGTGTGGGCTTCTCACTTTCCTTAAATGTATCAGCATTTCTGAGGTCCTTTGTTGAGCTTTTTCTTGTCTACTTTGCCTTGTAAAGCAGTGTTCAAGGGATATGGCCTGGGGACTCTAGTGGGATGGAGTAAATGAGTGGAGGGCTCTAAGACGTTGCAGTTTTACATTAAGAAGGGCAGTGGTCAGGCTGGAGAGATGATTCAGTGGTCAAGATCACCGACTGTTCTTCTGAAGGACCTAGGTTCAGTTCCCAGTACCCACGTGGCTGCTCACAACTGTCTGTAACTCCAGTTCCAGTGGACATACATGCAGGCAAAATCCCAATGTACATAAAAAGTAATTTTTAAAAAGAAAGGCAGTGGTATATACAATATGTAACTTAGCATGTGGTGCAATGTGCCATAAGTTCCCCTGATGAATAGACAATAAAGTTTGGCTCAGCAATTCTGTAAAACTCGGTATCAGAGACATAAGGTGCACACCCTTTGCCAACTTCTTTTCTTAAATATTTTTGTTGCTATGGTCAGGAGTGTGACTCCATGAATACAATTCTTTCTGCACATACATGAGGACATGAGCTCAGATCCCCAGTACCCATTTTAAAATCAGACAGGGCTACACATATTCATAGTCCCCAGTGCTTGAGGGGCAGAGGCAGGTAGATACCTGGAGCTTGCTGTCCAGGCTGTCTCACCAAATTTGTGACCTTCAAAAATGAGATAGAGAGCTACAGAGGAAGCTGTATGGCATGGCCTTTACATGTACATGCTCACACATGTGTGTCAAACACACATTAACATATACAAGCACATACATCACATACATACACAAGCAACAGAAATGTCTTGTTAAAATCCCCTTTACTTTCCTATGTCACAGATTAAGCAAACACTTACGGAGGTGTGGCCTTTGGAGACCCTTAGTGACCAATCTCAGTAATATTCTAGTCTGTATGTGTGTCCCCCCAGTGATGTCCATCTTTTTTCCTCCGTAAAAACATATGCTGCATTTGAGCCATTTCCACTCTATCACACAGGGGAGAAGGGCAGATGAGGCTTTGTTTGCTTGCTCATTTTGCAAGTCCTTCCTTATACCTTATAACTTTTAGCAGAATGAACAATTAAAACTCAATGGTATGTTTTAGGTGCTTGTTTCTGCCTCTCCCATTGACTTGAAGTGCAGGTACACCCTGCCAGGCCTCCTAGTTGCCGATTTCAGATTGCAGTGTTACCTCAGCTGTGACAAGAGTGACATTCTGGTCCCTCTCCCCAGGGTACAAATCAGTTGAGACCAGGGGCCTAATCTTCCTTTGCTGTGAGCACAAACCTGGAGAGACGGGGCGGGGTGGGGGGACTTGGTACCTTCCTGCTGCCTGAAAGGACCAATGTTATCTATCACAAGATCAGAACGTCACTTGAAGAATCCATATATGCTTCTTACCATCTGTCCTTGAAGAGCCCTTTGTGAGGCTGAGGACCTGCAGGATCCCTGTCTGTGTCCTGCCAGCCTTTGGTGATGGGTCATGCGTACCCCACATTTACTATATGGACACCCTCACTGTGCATAGCTTAACTCATGTGACTTTATACTTATCCAACTTTGGACATGAGATCTCTATAAGACTCCAGACCCGAGCATTATGATGCTAATACTCCTGGTATATAGCAGTCCCCATCCCATACCTCAACACTTAGGTTCTCATCCCCAGGATGTGTTCGGGCAACACGTGTTGAGTTCAGCTGAATTTCCTAACACGTAAGGGTGTTACTTCTTCCAGATCCTCATGCCCATGTTTCATCTTCATTTCAGGTGCTGAACCTCTATTCCATGACCTGGATAGTGATGACACTTCCCTCAGTAACCTGGGTGACTGCTTCCTAGCCACAACAGAAGCAGGGCCCCTGCAGTCCAGAGTGGGAAACCCCATTGACCATCTGTACTCCATGCAGAATTCCTACTTCACCTCTTGAGTCTTCTAGAATTTTGTGGCTGGGCTCCCATATGGAACAACCATACTGTGTGAGGGGTTGCTGACTTTAGGCTGGGGAGGCCAGAGAAGAGGTGGGCTGGGGAGGGAGGCTTTGTTGGGGATGCTGTTGTGTAATGACATGGTTGTAGCTCAGCATTTCCAAAGACTGGATACGTTATGGATCGCATAGTTTAATGTTTCTAATAAGAATCTTAGTGTTAGATATGAAGATGTGTTTATCATTAAGGACAGGGACTTTTAATATAGATATTCTCAAGCAAGCTAGATACCTAGGGACTCCTAACAGCTTCCCACCGTTGTGGAGAAGTACTTGTCAAGAGGTGCCGTATGTCTCTTCATCTACACACCAATAGACAGACAGATAGATGTGTGTGTGTATGTGTGTGTGTGAGAGTGTGTAACCGTTCATACTTTATCATCAGAGTTTATCCCTAATTATAACAGACACCAACTGTACAGCAAAAGTAACTTTATTTTCAGTGTGAACTGTATTTAAGGAAATGCTTGATGCACTTAAGTTATAAAATGAGATAATTTACTTTTATAAACTTTATCTTTAGTTTGGAGAGACTGACTCATCGGCAGGGCAGAGAGGGCTGCTCCACCCAAGTCCTGTAGCTTTGAGTGCTCGAGTGCTCGTTCTGGTCTCAGAGTATCACTGAGGTCTAGAAAACAACTCCATATGGCTGGCCGCATCCTGGAGTGGACTCTGGCTCACACTGGCATTGAGTCCCTCGGCCTGGGTGGAACAGAGCAAGCCCTGACCACGATTTTAGGCTTGTTGGTATGTGGTGGTTGGGCGGCATCGGCAAGGTTCTTTCTACCCCAGACTCAGCCTCAGTGAGTGTGGATGAAGTTGATAGCCACACCTACCTCCCTCTCTACGAGTGTGGATGAGGTTGATGCCACACCTACCTCCCTGGGGACACTGAGGCTCCATCCAGGACATGATCAGGGCTTAGACTTCAATCTGATATGACTTAAAATATAGCCAGATCATGTACCTGATGACAGAGGACACCTGGGACCACAGAATAGAAAGTTCCTGCACCCCAAGCCCTACCCCTCAGCGTAGCGCACACGGCAGAGGCACAGCTCCAAAGGGTGGAGAGAAAAACTCCCTCTGAGAAGGTGGAAGAGGCGTGGTGGATGGAATTCTAAAGCAAGTGTTGACTGGCACACCTGCTTTTTGTTTGTTTGTTTTTACCTTTTTAAAGGTCATTTAAAAATGACTGTCTGCACCCAGAAAGCCTGAATTACTTGTGATCTCTGTTTGTCCCTTTCTTGAAGGCTCATAGTCTAGAAAGTCATGGGGCTCATAGAAGCAGAGAGGGCCAGGCAGGTACCCAGGGCTCTTCCCTTCAACTCACTGTGATGACCTTGAGCACAAGAAAACCCAGCAAGCCATTGACACAGGGGCAGTTCCATACCCTGAAATTCAATTATGGTGCTAGGATGGGGTCTTCTGTGTTAGGATTCTCCTGGGAAAACAGAGTGAGTCACGGGGAAGACAGAAGGACTCCACTGAGAGGGGTTGTGACAGGCATGGCCCCATGCCTGGGGACATCATCAGAGCCTTGAACACACCCATGTCACTCTCTGCAAGACCAGAGGAAGCATGTCCCTTAGTGGTAGAGTCTGTGTTGTGTGATTTATTTTTGTGCTCTTCTTTCTAATTTATGCAAACCATCAGGAACCCCTAACCAGTCTGTTGAGTGAGGTGGGGCAGGTGCAGGTGGCACCCACCGAAGGTGTCTGTGTTGCTGATTGGTTTGAGAATGTAGCAGATATTATGTGACTGAAAACAAACAGAGATCCTTAATTCTACTCTTTAATGACATACCGAGATGAAATTAAAAACCTCTTACAAATGGCCTGTGGTTTATTCTGGGGAGAAGGGTGGGCATGGAACCGGGGAAACATGGGAGTTTCTTTGGCAAAGCTGTGGAGGACATGCTGTGGTGAAACTTTGAATAAACAAGACCAGTGGCTGCAGTCAAACCTAGATGGAAGGTTTCTGCAGCCCCTTGCTGAGATGGACAAGGTCCTTACGTTTCACCCCACCCCCGAAGGAGGTTCTAGAAACATTCCACTATCATTCTACAGCTCCCTTGTGATAGAGACTGCAACATGCACTATGTGATATTAGCTTGGGATTAGCATGAAGGCATGCTGAAGAAACAAGAATTCTTGTGCAGGGCTGGAGATAAATGCCTACCACAATGTGAGAGCAGAGAAGCGGCCAGTAGTGTGGTTCCCCGATCGAGTCTCCTAGAATTCTCAGCAATTTCGCATTTAAGTTTTCACTGACATGGAAGAGAGTTTTGGTTAAAAGATCCCTCTCTCTAGCGCACTGAGAAGGCTTTGCTCGTGGTTTCCAGGCTTTTCCTGGGAACTGGCTATCTCCGACTTTTGTTCTTCTCTTCTTCCAACTCTGAGCGTGTTGAGATCTAAATTCCCCTTGAACAAGGTACTTCACCCTGCAGACCCAATAGAGTGACAGAGATGGTACTTGTCACTATCCTCAGAGAGAAGAGGGCACTGACTATGGCATATAAAGCGCTTTCCCTGACAATGGAAACATGGTAAGGAGTGGCTTGATTGGTCTCAGGACTTGATCAATGTTGAGAGGCTTATGGAAATCTCAGGCCATGTGTGAAGAAAATGGAGAAGACACTGACTCACCTGAACTGAAGAGGATCTTCTTTGCTTCTCTCCAGATAATTCTTTGCTAAATCTCAATGCAGTTATCACTTAATTCAAGGCAGGCATGCTCATGTTGTGTGGAAGGCATGAAGAAAAATTCTAATGTTGAAAGCATGTTAACAACCACTCCCCTCCCCCCCCACGAAAAATACATAAAAGGAGTTATCAGTGCTTTGGAGATTTCTCTTGCCTTCTCCAGGGTCACACATGGGGATGGGGTGGTGGGAGAAGGGAGGCTGGGGTTAGAGTGGAGAACCAACAGCCTGATCAGGAGAAATGAGTTGTCTTAATTCCGATCAAAATGGGAAGGAAGTGGAATTAGCCTGTCAGTTCCAAACTCAAAGACAAAGTCCAACTGAAATCGCATAAAATCTTTCTCTCTCTCTCTCTCTCTCTCTCTCTCTCTCTCTCTCTCTCTCTTTCCCCCCCCTGAGAGATAAGATGAAAACTTAATACAGTTTACCTTCAATAAAACAGTTCTACAAAGAGTCACAATTGAATCAAAACCAAATGGACACATTGTGTCCCTGATTCTTGCTTCCAATAGTACAACCTTAGTCCAGTGACAGGAAGGGGAGAATCATCTTTAGGGGTCTCAAGATAAGGCCTTGGGTTTTTTATGCTTGAAAACATAGTCTTTCTGAACAAATAGAGAAATTTGTGTTGCCTGGGAAACACCCTGCACTTGCCTCCAAGATGAACTCTCAACCTTCTTCTCCTTGTCAATAAAAGTGACCGTTGACACTGGTCTGTCTGTGAAAAACAAAAGCAACAAATACATGTGAGGTCTGTGGACTCTGCCATGCTGCTCTCCAGCATTTAGTCTTACAGGGCACACATGAGCCAGTCACTGGGGAAGCTTCCTGGCTGTATGAGCAGTTTGTTGCTCCTTTGCTTTGTGAAAGGTTTTGCTTTCTACTCCTCAGTTCTTACGAGGGAGTGGCTGTCCCAGAAAAGGACAGATATATTCCGTCAGGGTGAAAATGACCTCTATCCCCTGCCAGCAGCTGCAGTCTCTAAAGACACTGCCTGATGACCTCCCCACATCCCTCCAGAGCAGGATCCAGAAGGATGGTGGGTGGCACAGCCCTTGTGGGTGATGCATCAGCTGGTCCCTAGGTGCCACCCAAGTGCTTAGGAAGAGAAGAGTGCCTCGTACCCCTCATTTATGGTGGGGAGGGCCTAGCTAGATAATTGTCCAGATTGCCACTTTATCTAAACCCTTTCACACCCTTTCCTAACACACTCATTTATTCATCTCTTTCATTCAACGAAGAAGTGTTTGGAAGGATGGGGAATGTGCTGTGTTCTGGGATGGGTTAAAAACAAACAAACAAGCAAAACAAAAAAAGAAAGCAGAAAGAGGCAAAGTCCCTGACTGATTAGACATGGCAACTTAGGCAGGAAATAGCTGGTGCAAAGTCTAATCAATTGACCTTGGACAGTATGAAGAGAGCAAAAAGATTCGCTGCCTGCATGGTAAATTGCTTGGGGTAGAAAGAATCCTAGGGATTCTCTGGTCAGGTCCAAATAGCTTGTCTTATATGCAATATGTCCTTGGAATCAAAGAAAAGGGGCCACTGTCAATCAACACATGTTTATTAAGTCTGGACATGGACATTTGCTGCCCTATGCAGCCCATTTCTGATAACATCACTCTGATATCCTTTGGGGAATTGACCTTCCTTAGTTTGTTAGTCTTGGAGGATTGCAAGTCAAGGTGACCTGGTGGGCAGTCATCGAGGGACAGGTGTCACATGACCAGTGCTCAGTCTGCCACCCTCTTCAAATCTCTGTGGAGCAGCACTAAGTTGGGCACCCAATGGAAATTGGTTTCTTCCTGGAGATGCCCATATCAGAATGGTCAGATAATCCCTGCAACCCAGACACCCAAAACTGCCCTGACTCCGCCTGCTTCTAAGACTTCCAACAGACACAGATCGAGAGAAATCTGCTTGCTCTTGCCATAGACCTTTGCTTGCTTAGAGTAACTCAAGTGGTTCATTTATTTTGCAATGATCAGTCGGTATACTGACAGAGGCAGAAATGGCTCCAGCCCTTTCCCCTCTTGGGTCATCAAGCTAGAAAAGCCAAGGAGCAGGAGCACAAACTTTGAATTGGGACATCCTGCAGCAGCAATTCTGCTCCTTAACCACACTATCCCCCACCCTGACCCTCTCTGCTTCCTTACCCACACAGGACCCTAAAGATGATTCCTGCCATATTGGTCTAAGAAAGAGAAATGCAAAATAGATGCTTTCTGGAATGTGGTAGCAATGATCATAGTTCTCCAGGCAAAAACAGTGCCTGGTATAAGG